AGGGTGGAGGCAGAGGGGAGAGACCACGTACAGTAGTGAGAGTCTCGCATGGTGCGCGCACAGCTCTAGACAGCGCGCGTCGTTGCATTTTCTTGAGTGGGATGAGGGAACAACGAAAACAAAATGACACCGGGACACCGAGCACGTGCGCATATACGTCTTACGTTAGGCAAGTTGGTATTTTCATATATGAACTTCAAAATACGGCTTTAACATTGGCTAAGTTACTAATGGCTAATCTAATTCTACTCATCACGACTCGCCAGAAACCTAGCCAGAAACACCCCGCACACTATGGGGTCATTGTGTGAGAGAGATTTTGAGCAATACCAAACAACTCTAACACTCCCTCGTTTGTTTGTTTTTTGCATTTTGTAGCCCTGCTTAGAAGGAAAAGCTTTACTGCAAGGTCCGTATGCCTTACCGTGTAGTCGGCCGGCAATCGCAGAGCAGATTGTGAATGAGCTTGCCTGCGGCGAGGGCGGTCGAGTGTACGGAGCTACGAGAAGTGCCTCGCCGCCCTCGCAGGAGTCGCTTAGGCGGCTCCCGTGGTGTACCTGTGTTAGTGCCAGTGTGTGGTGGTGATTGGAGTGGTCTGACCAGCGAGTTGGCAAGTCGAGGCCCTCCGTAGGCTCGTGAGGCGTCCCTCTTCCCTCGTTTGCAGAGCAGTCATTAACCTCACGATACGAAAAGGCAGGGCGAGGCGGATGGAGAAAGAAGTGCCGAGAAGGCCATGGTGGAGGGGAGGGACGGGAGGACGAAAGAAGGGCGGGGAGGACGAGCGGCCCACACAGACCGCGAGCAGACAGCGCCTGCTGGCCATTTCGAGACATTCGCCAAGAACGCTAGCTACATGGGAGGGCTTCGTGAAGGATGGATTGAAAAGCATTCGAACAAAGAAGAGGCGACGGGAGGAACCGGCGGAGGATGCAGTGACGTGACACACACACACACACACACACACACACACACACACACACACACACACACACACACACACACACACACACACACACACACACACACACACACACACACACACACACACACACACACACACACACACACACACACACACACACACACACACACACCGCTCACCCACGCGCACTGGGCCTTGCACTTTGAATGCCGTGGGGCTCCTGTCGTCAGACGTGGAGACGCGAGGGTTGCCCCCCCTTGCCCCACCACCTCGTGTGTGTGGAGAAGTTTACCTTACCTTACCTTACCTCACATCCAGGGCCGGGGAGCTGAGAAGCGCACCCAGCGGGCCGGATGATCGGTATCGGAAAAGAAAGAAAGAAAACAGACAGCCCAAGGGAGGGATGGGAGGACGGCACGCCGCCACCACACAGGGATTTTAAGGAGAGGTGTGTGATGCGCTAGCCGTCGCCCACCCTAGGGGGAGTCTGCCTTTTCCTATCTCTCTTCGCAGTCTCTCGCCGCTTCTCGCTGCAACCTTCATGCCACCTCGCGGTCGTCCCACTCTCGTCGTTCTCTCCCATCGGCATCGGGTTACGGGCGACTCGAGTTTTCCCGTGGTGTACCTGTGTTAGTGCCAGTGCGAGCCAGTCCCGTGCCCAGTCCTGTGAGAGAGAGAGAATTCTTGATACGAAACCACGACGACACACACCAGTCGACTCGCATCGGTTGCCTCCATGAACGGCGGAGCTATTCTCGCGCCCACACCACACCTGGCTCCAACGTGGACACGCCCATAGCTGGGGACACTACTAGGTCACGCATGGCATCACAGAAGTTTTATCTCTGGGCCCCGAAAGGCATCTCTAGCAGTGTCGTTACACATGCCCCCTCCCCTCCTGGGCGCATGCGCCTCACGTCTCGCCAGAGCATAAGCCCTTGGCGTGTGGCGAGACGAGTTTTTCGCCATCGCAGCGAGCAGCGAGCCGCCCGCCGCAAACAGCCGGAGGCCTCGCCGCGGCACTGGCTGCGCCGCGGTCCCGCACCCGTCGACGCAGCTCCCCCCGCGGAAGACCGCGCGTAGCAACGTCTTGACGATCGAGATGGGCGCGCCTGAAGCTCGCCCACCTACTGCCCCTGAGAGTTGGTTACGAGTGGGATCAGCTCCCCCCCTTGGGATCAAAGCTTCCACGACCTCGCACCCAACATCACAGGCGGGATCAGAAGGGGACTCCACACCGGACACCGCCCGGGCACAGCCCCCCTACCCGTCGGATCGCACAGAGGGCCCCCTCGGAGCAGCCCACACACAATCACGCATCGGCAGATTGAGTGCCTGAGTCAGGCAGACAGCACAGACAAGAGGAGAGAGAGGAGAGAGAGAGAGAGAGAGAGGAGAGAGGAGAGGGTGAGGGTGTGAACACACGTGAGGAGTGGGGGAGGGTGTCTGTGGTGGGCTGTAGTCCTACTACGTGGTTAGAACCACGCGCCCCTCAGGAGCTTAAGGTAGAGCTGAGCGTCCAAGACGCCTCGGTGCCACCTCTCTCTCTCTCTCTCTCTCTCTCCAGTCCTGTGCCCAGTGTCGTGCGAGGGAGTTTTGTTGTAAAATTCTCGCTGTTCGCGGCGAGGAGCGGCGTGACGGCGCGACGGCTGGCGGCAGGTAATGCAGCAGCACACGCAGCAGCGACGGCTTGGCCGTGGGAGGAGCGGCCGGCACGGGCGCGGCCGAGGCAGGCAGAGCAAAGACGGCGTCGACGCGGAGGGGGCTTCCGAGACGGACGTCGGACTGTGGAACTGCGAAGCGTGCACGTATTTCAACGCGGCATGGCGACGGCGGTGCGAGATGTGTGGCACCGCAGCCCGCAGTGGGAACGGCGGCGGCACTGGCGGCGGCGGCACTGGCGGCGGCGGCACTGGCGGCGGCGGCGGCGGCAACGCTCGGAACCTGAGGCGGGCGCAGCGGGAGGCGGGAGCCGCGCTGCTGGCGTTCACCCACGCGCCTCGAGAGGCGGCGCCCGCTCGGACGCCTGCGCGGCGCGCCGCCGCCAAGCTGCCGCGCCCCGTCGCCAAGATGCGCTTCCTGAGGGCGCACTACCACCTGCTCTGCCCCGTGGCGAGCGGCGAGGCACGTGCGTCGGTCGGCTGGGAGGACTGCAGGGCGGCGAGGCCGAGCAGCCCAGAAGCGGAACATCTCGCTCCACACCCTTACCTCCCCCCCCGCATCTCTCCATCTCTGGCAGCACGGACGCGCTGAGCAGCGCAGAAGCGGAGCCTAGACAGTGATAGTACGCACTCTTGTATCCCAACTAGCGCTCGAGCCCAGCGTGGGTTCAGTCCCGTGGGGGGTGCGGTAGTGGGTGCAGTCCGGTGGGAGGTGCGGTAGTGGGTTCAGTCCCGTGGGGGGTGCGGTAGTAGGCTGAGCACCTCCGAGGAGGTGCAGTGCCCGATCTGCCTCGTCGCGCCGGCAGCTGCGCCGCAGGTGGCCACCCCACCACGCCCTCCGCCCTGTGGGCCCTGCCTCACGTCAACCTACTGAGAGAACTATACCAACTCTCCCTCCTTCCCGCCGCCAGCCCGTGTGGTACTGCATGTGGCGTCCTGCGGCCACATCACCCTCCGCCTGCCCTAGTCAGAGCTGACTTCTCCACCCACTTCCAGGTTGCCTCCTGCGGCCACATCCTCTGCCTGCCTTGTGCGCTGCGGCTCCACGCCGCCGCCGTCGACGAGGAGCGCGCGCGCAAGTCACCGCACCACCCAAAGGACCGAACCCACGCCGGATTCGACCGCTCTGGCGGTATGGGAGTAGGAGCGCGTCTGCAAGTGCCCCGTCTGCGCCGACGCCCTCCACGTGTCGGAGCTGCGCACCGTGCGGCTGCGCCCGTCGGGGTAGGCGAGGGCGGCGGGCGAAGTCCTCGAGCACTGTGCCGAGTCTGGTGGATAGGTGCTGCTGCTCTCTGTCGGGGAGGTGGGGGCGGGAGGCCAGGCAATCAGTCAATTGGCGATTGGATAGGTGCTGCTGCTCTCTGTCAGGGAGGTGAGGGCGGGAGGCGTCGCCACCTTCCGACGGCTCCCGCTGCCAGCGCCGCGCCGCCGCGGCGGGCCGGCGCCACCCAAGGTCTACGCCGATGTGTCTTCGGTGCCAGCCCTCGTGGGCGGCACGGTGTCGGAGGTGCGCTGCTTTCTCGCCTTCCCCGCCTGCCTCGGATCTACGTTCGGGTCTACCTCGGATCTACCTCGGGTCTACCTCTGATTGATCTCGGGTCTATCTCGGATCCTTACCTCGGGTCTACCTCGCATCTACTAATTGCAAGGTCCGCTGCTTCGCCTCCGCCCTCGACGCGCCCCTCTCGCAGCTCCGCGCCGCCGAGGCTGCGTTGGTGCTACCGACGCCCGCGACACAGCCCACAACGCCGCCCGCAACGCCGCCCGCAACGCCGCCCGCAACGCCGCCCTCGGCATTGCCCTCACCCGCCGCCGGCGCGCCGCCTCTTGCGGCCGGCGACCTCGCGGCGACGATGCAGCTCGAGGCGCGAGATGAGCCGAGATTGCCCCGAGATCACGCGAGATCACCCGATATCACTTTAGATGAGGCGAGAGGAGCTGAGATGAGCCGAGATGAGCCGAGATTAGGAAGGAGACGATTTCCGGCTCTCGAGATGGCCCGAGATGGCCCGAGATGGCCCGAGATGCCCCGAGGTGAGGCGAGGTGCTCCGAGGTAACCCGAGATTCTCCGAGGTGAGCCGAGGTGAGGCGAGGTGCTCCGAGGGCAGGCGGAGGAGGAGCTGCGGTACGTGCGGCTTGCGATCGAGGAGCTGTCCCGCCGGCTGACGGCGTGTCTATACCTCTCTCTCTCTCTCTCTCTCTCTCTCTCTCTCCCTCTCTCTCTCTCTCTCTCTCTCTCTCTCTCTCTCTCTCTCTCTCTCTCCCTCTCTCTCTCTCTCTCTCTCTCTCTCTCTCTCTCTCTCTCTCTCTCTCTCTCCCTCTCCCTCTCCCTCTCCCCCCTCCCCTCTCTATCCCTCCCTCCCGGTCGGACCCTTCTCGGAACTGTCCCGGCAGGCGTGGGCCGCGCCACCGGAGGCCGCGGAGCACAAGCGGCGCGAGGAGCGAAACAGCCGTTCCCCGCGCGTCTCTGGCTCCGGCCTGCCTGCGCCCCATACCTGCAGGAGCCTCGAACCCAGCGTGGGTTCAGTCCTGCGGGTGGTGCGGTAGTAGGCGTGTCGGAGAGCGAGGGCGAGGGCGAGGGCGAGGGCGAGGGCGAGGGGCCGCACGCGCTGCAGGAGGCGAGCGGCAGCGCGACGTTTGCAGACCCGCTCAGCGCGCGGATGCTGCTGCAGCAGTTTGGGTCGTGGAGTGCGGTGCCGGAGGAGGTGGGGGCGACAGTCACAGAGGCGCAAAGCAGACGAAGCAGAGCACACCTGGAGCACACGCCGCGAACACACATCGCGTGTCCTCGATCGAGCCTCCCACATCGAAGGGTCGGAGATCGGAGGAGATCGAGATTGCAGGAGATCGAGCGCCGGTCGCGAGAGTTGCCCTTCGTGTGTGGAGAAGTTTTCCCTCCCCCCCCCCCCTCCCTCCCCCTCCCCTCCCCACCTCCCCCCCCCTCCCCTTCCCTTCCCTTAGGTGCGTGCGGTGCGGCAGGATGAGGCGACCCGGCGGCGGTACAAGGGGACGGCGCACTTGCCAGACGGCGCCGCGTCCCGTCTCTCGCCCGTCGCTCATTATTGGAGGACGTAGTCTCACAGCAGCTGGTTGAGCTCTGTTGTGCTAGGCGCCACAGTTCGGCTAGAAACCATCGGTTATCCAGTAGTGTTCGTCAATCGCCATCGTTATTAACAGGCGCCACGCTTTGGCTCGCCCCTCACCGTATCCACAAGTGTCATAGTTCATCGCCATCGTTATTAACAGGCGCCACGCTTTGGCTCGCCCCTCACCGTATCCACAAGTGTCATAGTTCATCGCCATCGTTATTAACAGGCGCCACGCTTTGGCTCGCCCCTCACCGTATCCACAAGTGTCATAGTTCATCGCCATCGTTATTAACAGGCGCCACGCTTTGGCTCGCCCCTCACCGTATCCACAAGTGTCATAGTTCATCGCCATCGTTATTAACAGGCGCCACGCTTTGGCTCGCCCCTCACCGTATCCACAAGTGTCATAGTTCATCACCATCGTTATTAACAGGCGCCACGCTTTGGCTCGCCCCTCACCGTATCCACAAGTGTCATAGTTCATCGCCATCGTTATTAACAGGCGCCACGCTTTGGCTCGCCCCTCACCGTATCCACAAGTGTCATAGTTCATCGCCATCGTTATTAACAGGCGCCACGCTTTGGCTCGCCCCTCACCGTATCCACAAGTGTCATAGTTCATCGCCATCGTTATTAACAGGCGCCACGCTTTGGCTCGCCCCTCACCGTATCCACAAGTGTCATAGTTCATCGCCATCGTTATTAACAGGCGCCACGCTTTGGCTCGCCCCTCACCGTATCCACAAGTGTCATAGTTCATCGCCATCGTTATTAACAGGCGCCACGCTTTGGCTCGCCCCTCACCGTATCCACAAGTGTCATAGTTCATCGCCATCGTTATTAACAGGCGCCACGCTTTGGCTCGCCCCTCACCGTATCCACAAGTGTCATAGTTCATCGCCATCGTTATTAACAGGCGCCACGCTTTGGCTCGCCCCTCACCGTATCCACAAGTGTCATAGTTCATCGCCATCGTTATTAACAGGCGCCACGCTTTGGCTCGCCCCTCACCGTATCCACAAGTGTCATAGTTCATCGCCATCGTTATTAACAGGCGCCACGCTTTGGCTCGCCCCTCACCGTATCCACAAGTGTCATAGTTCATCGCCATCGTTATTAACAGGCGCCACGCTTTGGCTCGCCCCTCACCGTATCCACAAGTGTCATAGTTCATCGCCATCGTTATTAACAGGCGCCACGCTTTGGCTCGCCCCTCACCGTATCCACAAGTGTCATAGTTCATCGCCATCGTTATTAACAGGCGCCACGCTTTGGCTCGCCCCTCACCGTATCCACAAGTGTCATAGTTCATCGCCATCGTTATTAACAGGCGCCACGCTTTGGCTCGCCCCTCACCGTATCCACAAGTGTCATAGTTCATCGCCATCGTTATTAACAGGCGCCACGCTTTGGCTCGCCCCTCACCGTATCCACAAGTGTCATAGTTCATCGCCATCGTTATTAACAGGCGCCACGCTTTGGCTCGCCCCTCACCGTATCCACAAGTGTCATAGTTCATCGCCATCGTTATTAACAGGCGCCACGCTTTGGCTCGCCCCTCACCGTATCCACAAGTGTCATAGTTCATCGCCATCGTTATTAACAGGCGCCACGCTTTGGCTCGCCCCTCACCGTATCCACAAGTGTCATAGTTCATCGCCATCGTTATTAACAGGCGCCACGCTTTGGCTCGCCCCTCACCGTATCCACAAGTGTCATAGTTCATCGCCATCGTTATTAACAGGCGCCACGCTTTGGCTCGCCCCTCACCGTATCCACAAGTGTCATAGTTCATCACCATCGTTATTAACAGGCGCCACGCTTTGGCTCGCCCCTCACCGTGTTCACAGGTATCATAGTTCATCACCATCGTTATTAACAGGCGCCGCGTTCCGGCTGGCCGAGCTGGACTTGTCGGAGGTCGTGTCTGCGGAGGTGATGGCCATCTTCGAGCCCGAGCTACGCAAGCGCGCGGAGCGGCGGCGGAGGGAGGCGGAGCAGGAGCGCCGTGCCGCCGCCGCGGCGGAGAAGGCGGAGAAGGCGGCGCGGAAGCAGCACAGCCGGTCGCGGCTGGCGCTCGAGCTCCCGCGATCTCCTCGCATCTCCCCGCATCTCCGCCGCATCTCGAGGCGTAGGTCGCGGCTGGCGCTCGAGCTTCTGCGCGCGAGCGGGCGGCCGATTGCGCACGAGGAGGCGCCGCGCATCGAGGTGCGAGAGATGGGGAGATATGGGGAGATGTGGGGAGATATGGGGAGATGTGGGAAGATGTGGGGAGATTTGGGGAGGTGTGGGGAGATGTGGGGAGATGTGGGGAGATGCGGGGAGATCTGGGGGAGAGATGGGGAGATCGCGATGAGTAATGAGTGGCGGCCAGGAGACGCCCGCATCACGCCCCCACGCCCCTGCCGCGCAGGTGGACGGAGTCTACGCGGCGGCGTGGCAAGCGCAGCAGGCTGCCGCCGCCGGGCCGACGTTCGCGAGCATGTCTCGCTGGGGCTTCGCCGCGTCAGGTCTTCTTTTCGCGTCGCGGGGCCGAGAATACCCGAGATCACCCGAGGTGACCCGAGATCACGCGAGATTGCCCGAGATTAGGCTCTCCCCCGTCGCGGGCCCTCGACGGCTCTCGCGCCCCTAGAAGCGGAACATCTCCCCGCATCTCCCCATATCTCCCGACATCTCCCCGTATCTCCCCGCATCTCCCCGTATCTCCCCGTATCTCCCCGTATCTCGCGCCCCTAGAAGCGGGAGCCGCATTCTTGCATCCCAGCCAGCGCTCGAGAGGACACGGACTCAACTGTGCTCGACCGTACTCCGCTGTAGTCACTGCACTCGTAGCCTCGTCGTCTTCACGACGTGCTCCGAATGGACTGCACGAGACCGCAGCCCCGCCCTGAAGTTGGCGGATTCACCGACTTCAGGCTCTCGCGGCCTCGGCTCGCCCCCCTGCTCCGGAGGCTTGCCCGGCGCCGCGCCGTCGCCGCTGCCGCAGGGCGCGTGGGCGGCCAGGTCGCAGAGAGAGAGAGGGGGGGGGGGGGGGGCAGAGAGAGAGCCCAAGCAGTGCCAAAACAAACCTAACACTCACGCACCATGGTTGTGTTTCGTTGTTGCCAGGTCGCCAACCTCCGCGCCAGCGGCCTCGCCGCCGCCGCTCGCCGCGCCTCTGCTCCCGCCGGCGTCGGCCGTGCGCACTGGCGGCGCCTCGCTCCTTCACCACTCGCAGCCGCGGGCGGCCTCCGCGGCAGCTTTAGCTTTGACTGTCTCGTCCGCCTCCGCCTCCGCCTCCGCTGCCGGCGGCGGCGGCGGCGACGACGACGACGACGAGGCGCCGCCCCGAGTTTGGGAGATCTGGGGAGATATGGGGAGATATGGGGAGATGTGGGGAGGGATGGGGAGATGCCGGAAATGTGGGGAGGCGCCGCCGCGAGTTTGACCTGAGTGAGTGGAGCTAGGGGTCCGATCTTGGAAGCAAGGCTTGCCCACTTCTACCACTAGGTGCCACCGGAGCTCGCCGCGTCGTGGGCCGCCGCGTCCTCGGCGGTGCCGCCGAGCGGCCGGCCGAGCAGGGGGGGCAAGGGCAAGAAGGGCGTGCTGCTCCTCTCCAACGCTGGCGGCGGACGCCGCATCTAGGACGCCGGCCCGTGGGCGGGTGGCGGGTTGGGGTGGGTTGGGGGGGCGTTGGATCGACGATCCAGCTAGGGCGTCTCGCCGCCCGGTGCAAATGTTCTGGCAGGAGACGCGGCCGTGGAGGCGCGGGGCTTCAGCGAGGCGTGGCGGAACTCCAAGATGAGAACACACTGTGAGGCATACGGCTTTATCTGCCGTCTGAGTCCGCGTTTATCGTCAGACCAGAGAGAGAGAGAGAGGCGGTCCGGGGTCTGCCAGGCTCGTTGTGCGAGTATATGGGCCACGATGTCTCAAATATGAGGGGGTTTGACTCCTACCGGCTCCTGACGCTATCCCTGGCAGCTCTAATGACCGGGATCAGTAGTGCTATGATAGAGGGTGCCCATACTAGCGCAGGAGCTGCCACACTCGCCCGGACCGTCCCCCTCTGGGGCCGGTTCCGCAGCCAGCGAGAGCCGACAGCGGGGCCGTGCCGCGGGTGCCTACTGCCGAGTGCCACAAACACTGCGCCGTCCCGCCACCACCTACAGGCTGTCTTGTGTGATGGTTGGGATGTCCAAACGCCACCATCTTGGCTCTTGCGACCTCAAACCCGCGAGCTGTATGGGTGGTCCTGACGTCGACAGACGCCCGATGACCACGGTGAAGCTGAGCCGGAACGCGTCGACAAGTCTCGTCTGAGCCCGTGGCGGTCGCCGGCTGAGTCGCTGTGCACGGGCCGGTACCTCAGGCGTCACCTCCGCAGCCTCAGGTCTCAAACTCCACCACCTCCGCCAGGACGCCGTCGGTGGCACGTTCGGCGGCGAGTTTGTTGCAGCCCCACAGCGAGCGCGGCGTCGAGCCTAATCGGTCTGGTCGGTTCGCGGCACTCCCTGGGTGCCAGGGAGTGCCGCCGACACGCGAGCGGTGCTTCCTGGCAGCGCGCGCCGGCTGTGGGGCTGCAACAAACTCGACAGACGCTTTTTGGGACATTTTCGACGCTTTTGACCCATATACTCGCACAACAAGCCGCCAGCGAGTGCAGACTGAGAGAGAGAGAGCGTGAGCGATGAGCGGTGTCATTTTGTTTTCGTTGTTCCCTCATCCCACTCAAGAAAATGCAACGACGCGCGCTGTCTAGAGCTGTGCGCACCATGCGAGAACTCTCACTACTGTACGTCCCTTCGCTCGATCTCCAGGACCCACAGCGCTGCCCGCCGCTCCTGGCTACCGCACGAGACGCCTCGCAGGCAACTATTGCCCCGGCGCCTCAGCTGTACATGTGCATCCCCCGCCCTCACTCCCTCCTCCCAACCACGCCTCTCCAGAGAAAGGCGCGCCGCGCAGCAGTTCCGCTCCTGCGCGATAAAGCCCCCAGTGCGAGAGCGCGCAACGGATATGGACCCAGACCCGTGGGGGTCGCCGATGCGGCACGCGCCTCCCCGCCTCCCCGGCCCCACGGGTCGCTGGTGCATGCTCATGCGAATTGCTCAAAATGGCGTTTGCCGTGTGTGCAGCCGCCAAGGTTAGACATGCTCCTGCACCGCCTCCACCGAGACCGCCGACTCCTCCGAGTCCACCGAGACCGTCGCCTCGCCTCCAGAGCCGTCGCCCGCGGTGGTTATCGTCGCAGAGCTGCGGCGGCGAACGAGCCGGCTGCCGTGCTCGGCGATGCTGGCCGAGAGGCGGCTCATGCTTGCGACGCTGCCCGACCGAGCGGGAGTCGCGCCGAGGTCCTTTGCCAGAAGCGCGAGCGACACCTGCGGAATTGAGCGCCCTGGCTGGTGAGTGTACCGCCGGTGCGCAAAAGGCGAGATGTGGGGGACAAAACGCGCGCCGGGTGGTGGCGCCCCGGGAAGCACGAGCGTGCCAGGCTCTTGTAGAGCCCGTCGGCGATGAGCTCCTGCAAGGGAGGGTACGCGGGTGGGGGGGGGCGATTAAGCGTCTGAGATGGAGTGCATCATGACCCAACCCCAGCCCGCTCCTGCGGCGTGACTTCGAAGAACCTCGAGAAGGGGCAGCCGCCGAGGCCCGGGTCGTTCTCGTGCGCCATGACGATCTTCAGCCTGTCCTGGCGTGCCTGCTTGACCTGCTCGGCCAGCCGCGCGTCGCTGACGAAGCTGTCCTCGTTGAGGTAGAGCAGCATGTGCGTCGCTGGCCCGGGCGCCTCGGCGGTGGAGACGGTGAGGTTCGGGAAAGTGGCGGCAATCTCGTTGGCCAGCTCCATGGCGCCCGCGTTGGCCGGCGAAGCCCAGAGCGTGGTCTGTTTGGAAAAGGCGAGCGACTGGCTCTCGGGCTCGCCCGGCACGCAGAGCGGGAGGGAGCTCCGGTTCACGTAGTTGGGCGAGCAGAGGAGCACCGCCTGCGGTTCAAGGGCGCCGGAGCTGAGGTCTCGGGGTTGGGGGCGAGAGGACTGCGGCTGGCTCTGTGTCCCGCTGCGCCTCGGCGATTGTCTTGAGCGAGACGCGTTGATACTCCTCAATTCGCATCCACACGGTGTGCGTCCAGCCCTGTTCAAAGATGTCCTGCTGCAGGTCGTCGGGGCATTCGCCGCGCAGCGCCTGGAGCGTCCCGCCGCCCTTGTCAGGGTCCGCCTCTTGGACGAGGACGATCGGCTTGCTCTGCTCGAGCGACGAGCGGATCTCGCGAAGGCAGTTCTGGTGGCACGCGAGCGGGCGGGCGGTGAGACGAGGGGAGTGTCGAGGGTTGCAGCAGACTCGGGTGCGTTGAGAGCCAAAGGATCCCGAGGGAGGGACAGGGCGGCGGCGAGAGCGCGCCTGAGAGCGGAAGTAACCACGCGAAAGGAAGAAGAGGATCACTTGCGAGCGTTGGATGTAGTCCTCGAGCGCCCCGATATCCTTTAGATCATCCACCTGACAGCGCACGACGAGCGAGGTCAGAGGACTGTGTCGCCGTACGCAGCGCGGCTGAGCGTGTGCGCGCGTCTAGGAAGATCTTGATGTCCGGCAGCAGCAGCTGGAGCTCGCTCTTGATGTTTCCGACGGCGTCTTGACCGGTCGACCTGCATGGTTACGGTGAGAGTTGGATCGTGCTGTCCGGATATCTCGTCACCCTCCCTAGCTGCGTGACTCACCAGATGTGAGAGAGGAAGAGGTGCCACGTGAGGTCAGTCCCGATGCTCAGCTCGGGGGGCTGCTTGGTCGAGGCGAGGCGGATCGTGGGGACCTTGGCGACGCGGCGGGCGGCGACGACGGCGCCGATTAGGAAGATCACGAGTGCAACAACAACGAGGACGATCATCATGTCCACGATCGCATTGAGCTTTCCGAAGCCGAGGACATCGGCGGGGTCGGCTCCCTGGTACCGCTCCTCGATGCCGAGGAAGATGGTGCTCCAGTTGGTGCCGAGGAAGAGGAGGAGGAGCACAAGGCTCGTGGCGACGGCCAGCACGTTGTCCTCCACCCGCTTGTACGGCCGCACGGCGGCAAGCATGAAGCCGTAGCACGAGCAGACGAGGGTCGCCACCATGAGGCGAAGGAACGCGTTCTTCTCCGGGATCAGCAGCACGAAGCCCGTCAGCACGAGCTTGCGCGCCAGCTCGAGCGCCTCCCACCAGCACCAGGTCTTCTCGTACTCCCGGTGCAGGAAGGCGGTGGCCCGCGTCAGAGCATTCGGCGACTTGGCCTGCAGCGGCTTGTAGCAAGCGGCGAGGAGCGACGTGAAGAGCACCAGCGAGCCGACCGGCCAGAGGACGATGAAACCGGTGGCGACGTCGGTGATGGACTCGTGATCGTCGGAGCCGCACTCGACGCTCGCGTCCTGCCGCATGTAGGAGACCTGCTCCAAGCGCTCGTTCGGCGGAGAGATGGTGTAGGCCTATCAGCAGAGCATGCCTGAGGGGTGGGGTTGTGAGCAGCGGCAGTCATCAGCTGTGAGAGGGCGCCTGGCACGACCAGGAGCGGAAGATGGAGGCGCTGATGGAGGGCACGAAGCAGAAGACGAGCACGAGGCCGGCCGGCGTGAAGTCGAGGAGGCCGAGGGCCGCCTCCGCGTACCACGATCTCTCGCGCGGTGGCAGTGCAGCACGCCAGTAGTAGAGCCGCAGCGCAATTCCCGTTCCCATCAGCAGTGCGATGAGGGCGACGGGCGAGAGAGCGACGGCGAGGAGTCGCATACCGTAGCCGAGGCACTGCTCCGGCAGGAAAAAGCCCGACCAGTCGATGGAAATCGCGTTGGCCAAGTTGTCGGTCCAGCTCGTGTACTTGTCCGGCAGCCGCGCGGAGTAGGTGGAGGAGAGGACGGTACTGATCTGGTAGAAGCCGAACAGGATCTTGACCTTGGCCGTCATTCCGCCCCCGACGTAGTACTTGACCGAGCGGTCTGCGAAGCGGAGGATCGGGCCGATGTACGGCTCCTTCCGCCACGGCATGCTATAGGCCCACGCCGCGAGGCCGCAAGCGACGCAGAGGCCGAAGACGATGCCGGCGATGAGTGCCGCCGCCGCGCCGCGCGGAGTGCACTCTTTGCACTCGTCGCCGTCGACGAGGTGGTGATTCTCCGCGGCGCAGAGCTGGCACTCGGGGCCTTTGAAGCCAGGCGCGCAGTACTCGTCCGAGCCCGCCTCCTCCAAAAGGCGAGAAGCCTGCTTGGCTCCGCGCTCGTTGCCGGCGCACCGCGCCTCGCCGGCCCTGTCGCCCCCGAGGTCGCGGCACGCCGTCAGCACGGCGGAGGAGGGGCTGGCGCGCCAGTAGCCGGCTGGGACGCCGAGGGTCGCGAGAGTGGTGTCGTCCGAGCACTCGGCGTTTGGCGGGCATGGCTTGCAGTAGTCGGTCGGGGAGGAGAAGATGTCGGCCGGGTCGGCGCTCTGGAGCAGGTAGAAGTCCTTCTGGCAGACGGAGCAGATGACGGCGCCGCGCTCACTGCTGAGTGGGTGGGGGCAAGGGACGCACTGGCCCTGGCCGGGGTTGGCGGCGTAAGTGCCTGCAGCGCACTCGCTGCACGACTCGCTGCCGGCGCCGGAAGATGTGCCAGGCTCACACCGCTCGCACTTGGCGAGTCCCTGCGTGGCGGCGACGGAGCCCGGCGAGCACTCCACCGGCGGCGCAGCCCCGCCGCCGCACGACGAGCCCGCCGGACAGTCGAAACAGTCGGGCAGGCCGTCGCCGTCCGTGATGCTGGCGTATGTACCAGGCTCGCACGCCGCAGGCAGCTCGAGCGACGCGCCGACGGGACAGAAGCTGCCAAGCCCGCACCGGATGCAGCCGGCAGCGCCGGTGGCGTTCTGGTAGGATCCCGCCTTGCACGGCTCGCACTCGGCGTTGCGCGAGCCGAAAGCGAACGTGCCGGAGCGGCACGCCACAGGAGCCACGCTGCCGGTGGTGCAGAAGTGGCCCTCTGGGCAGTCCTCGCAGCCGCCCGCCGAGTCAAGGTTCAACTTGTCCGAGTAGGTACCCACGCCGCAAGGCAGCGGCGCCGACGCGCCCTTGGCGCAGTAGCGTCCCGCTTCGCAGTCGCGGCAGGACGTCGCGCCCGTGTCGTTCTGATAACTGCCCGGAGGGCAGTCCGTGCACTCACTCAGCCCGGGCTCGCCGCCAAATGTCCCAGCACGGCAGCTCGCGCACGTCTCGCTGCTGTCTGCGCCGGGGGTCGGGCTGGAGGATCCGGGGGGGCACTGCTGACAGGCGTCTGGTGTGCTGCTGCCCGTCTTCTCGTTGTAGCTCCCCGCAAGGCAGGGCGTGAAGCCGCCGCCACAGTCATCTGTGACTTCGCAGTACCCACCCGCGGCACACAAATCGCACGACGTCTGGCCGCGCTCCGGCTGGAACTCGCCAGCAGGGCACTGCACGCACGCAGCCTGGCCGGTGAGGTTCTGGTACTGCCCTGCGGCACAGTCGAGGGGTTGCACGGTGCCTGCATTCGGGCAGAAGCGTCCCGCGGGGCAGTCGGTGCAGCTGGTGGCGTTGAGCTGATCGGCGAACGTGCCGGGAGGGCACTCGTCGCAGGGGTGGACCGTGCCGGCTGTGGACTGGCTCGTCCCCGGAGAGCAAGGGAGGCACGACTCGGCACTGGCTGCGCCTATCGCGGGCATGTAGAAGCCCGGAGCACACGGGAGCGGTTCCGCTGTGCCCGCGGGACAAAAGTGGCCTCGCTT